GTGTTTCTCGGTTTAACTAAGGTTTATTTCGTCTAATATAGGTGACCTTAACTTACTCACCAGTCGATGTTATCAGCCTTTTGGCGGCATTCCGGCCGTCAGTCAGAAAAAAAGGCTCCAACTCCCAACATGAAAAATGACACAATGAATAATGTTAGTTTGCTGTTAACAAGTGAAAACATCTTAAAATATCGCAGTTTTGCATAAAACAGAAATAATATACTAACCTTTTCTTGAGTTAACGGTGCATTTCTCTTTTGTCCTTTTACGGCCACTTCCACCAAACAGTCAAAAAAGAACTCCTTTGCCATTGGTCAGTTTTTCACGGACAAGTTCACTACTGTAAATTGCCCATAATCCTTTGCTGTTTACAGTAAAATACTGTATACACATTTTACAGTATCTTACTGTACACATTACAGTATAATACTGTTCAAGTTACAAAAATTGGTTACAGTGTATCAATAAATGACACGGTTTTGACTGTCATGGTGTGTGCATGAAGAGTGTGAAATACCTGCTAATTACGTAGCTTTTTTCTATCACTTATATTGGGCACTTTTTGCATTTAAATCTGCTTGCCTATTTTATTCGGTAGCCTAGTTCTCTTTAATGTAGGCTATTTGCCCCGATTTGACCCATTTACTTGGGAAATTTCTCTAACATTATATTTATATTATTTTTTAGGGGTTAAGAATGGCCCTTATCAACCTTGATTTACATATTCCATCACATTATTTTGACAGTTAAAGTTTTGGGCGGGTTTTTGTGAGCTTTTGGGCTGGAAATCGTCCATCCAATCTGGCAACACTGCGCCGCACAACAGCGGCTCATTCATTCATTGTTGTTTACAGTCAGAGTTTGAGTCCAGATTAGTTCAGAGAGATCATGGCAGCTGCCGCGACCAAAGCGACAAAGAAGAAACCAGCAGTTAAACGCAAGAGAACGGGTCCGAGCGTCTATGGCAAGCCGTTTTAGCTTAAATTGTTCCCAGCGTTACTCGCTTTAATAGTAATTGTTACTAGTAATAATTGAATTAGAGAGCTCTCTAAATCAGTTCTTACTAGTAAGAATTACAATTAAAGAGCTCTTTAATACAAATCTTACTAGTAAGAAAGCATTTGCAGAGCTCTCTAATTCAATTAGAGAGCTCTGCAATTGAATTAGAGAGCTCTGCAATTGCATTCTTACTAGTAACAATTGAATTAAAGAGCTCTCTAATCGTAATTGTTACTAGTAATAACTGAATTAGAGAGCTCTACAATTCAATTATTACTAGTAACAATTATGATTAGAGAGCTCTGTGATTATTTTTTACTAGTAAAAACTGTCACATTCAGTTGTGGTCAAAAGTTTGCATACACTGCAGAATGTGCAAAATTAAATTTTTAACTAAATTAAGAGATCATGAAAAAATGTATTTTTTACTGCCGATTAAGATATTTTAACATAACAGATGTTTAAATACAATCCGCAATACAAAATAGCTGTTTAGTAAACCATTTTAAAGTTTACATACACTGATTCTTAATATTCAGTTGTTACCTGGATATGTTCATTCTTTGATAGTTGTTTACGAGTCCCTTATTTGACCTAAGCAGTAAAACTGCATTGTTCATAAAATTTGACCTAAGCAGTAAAACTGCACATTGTTCATAAAAATCCTCCAGGTCCTGCATTCCCCCCCCCCCCACCAACATCTACTATATATTTAAAACCCTTTCCATCATGACACATGTATGATTTTGAGATTCATCATTTTACACTGAAGACAATAAAGGGACTCAAACACAACTATTAAAAATGTGAAATTATTCACTTACATTCAAAAAGTAAAGTAATTTTTGGCAAAATTGAATAATTTATGTACACAGATGGGGAATAATGACACACGGAGGGATTGATGGACACTCACGAGTCATCACTTACCGAAGAGCAAACCTTGATAACACTGCTTTGAGTGTTGGCCAGTTTTGTTGGAGCAACATTTCAGTATGGACTCCCATCCAGAGTGAGGTCTGACTGTGGTGGAGAAAACACACAGGTTGCTCTGCTTATGAATTTGATTTATGGTGATGAACGGAGGAGTCACATCACTGGAAGATCAGTACACAACCAGCGTATCGAAAGGCTCTGGAGAGATGTTTTTCCCAGGTAATTCAATACTTCTACCACCTGTTTTATTCCTTTGAGGATGAGCAAATTCTGGATCCAGACAATGACATACACAGATTCTCTCTACAACAAGTTTACCTGCCAGCCATTCAGGAAAGACTGGACACTTTCAGAGCAGCATGGAACAGTCACAGGCTACGTACTGAATCAAATCGTACACCCAACCAGATATGGATGGAAGGTATGGTTGCTAACCGTCAACAGGACACAACAGCCATTAACAATGTTTTCAGCCGGGACCCATATAATGAAGAACTGGAGACCATGCTGGGGCGATATGGAGTCCAGCTAACTCAATTGGAAGTTAATCAGGATGACCTTGAAAGAGCTGTAGTAGTTACTCAACCACAAATTAACTTGCATCAGAGACAATGGCAAATACTTAAAGATATACTGACAAGAATTACTGACCTGAAGGAAAAATATTTGACCTGCTGCAGAGAAATTACCAGATTCCTACACTAGGCTGAAAATATGTACCACTCAATTATTCCGCCATTAGGGTAAAATAATGTAGAGTGTGTGAGAGATTAATAGTACCGTACTGCATGCTAGTTAAAATTCATGACTTTATTTGTTCACATGTAACCATGACATTTTAATCAAGATGCTATTTGAAACATTACATTTTTTTTGCAATAAAACAACTGCATTGTAGTTCTTTAAAACCATTGCTTTTAGAAAGTTTTTTTTTAAAACACTACCTGCCTCTGCTTATAAAAAGAAATCAGACATTTTGTATACATCCCCTAACCTGAAAGAACAGAACTAGTTTGCTAACAATAGGTATAAGTGACTAGAATAAAAAAAGGTTTTCAGAACTCCAGCATAGAAAAATTGTAGTAAGAGTCATTTTACACTTCTCCTAAACTGTGAGAACTGAACAGAAAACCAGTTTAACAATAGATCTAGAAGCTCTAGATGACTTCAGAAGAAATGTATCAAAGTGATAAACAGATTAAGTAAATTAGTCTCCAAACAACACACAATTTAATCCTTGAGTCACTTAAGACACAACAGCCATTAATAATGTTTTCAATTGGGTCCCACCAAATGAACTGAAGACCATGCTGGGGCTGCATGTCACAAGTCATTCTTAGGAAACGCCAAAGGTTGGAGCCTGCAGTATCCCATCAGTCATGTATGTTTTGAAGTCATCATAGCTGTTGTGAAGTGGCAGTCTGAGTATTATTAGACACGTATTGGCCTCAGGATATATTCGTTTGTAGTCTGAAGTTCCATGTAGAAACTGGAGTTGGGGAGGTTGAGAAAACCCCAGTGGAGGCAAGGCTGATGCTCCTGAAGCAAATTCAAGGACCATCTCCATTGTTAGAGGACTGCATTCTCCTTCTACAAACAAGTTAAACGCAAGTAAAAAATGTAAAAAAAAGTTAATCATGGACTTTACCTTAAAATAAAAGTGTTAGATAAAAAAAAACCCTGTCATTTCATCACTAACATTTAAAAAAAAAAAAAATTAAAATTGAAAAATAAATTTGACAATTTAAAAAACTTAAGGTCTGGTATGGGCTTGCTCCACCTCCGTTAAATGAATTTATGAAACAGGACAGATTGTAGTATTGGTACTAGGTTCCAATCATCATTAGAGGGGACTGCGAGGTGCCATATAGGCGAACATCTTTTAGACAAAGTATTGTCTGTAATAGGGAGTAAATATTGGAATAGCTTACCGCAAATAAGACAATGTTCTACTTATATACCTTTAAAGATCATCTTAAAAAGTGGCTTATGATAAATCAGTTGTTTAAACATTTTCCTTTTTAAACACATTTTAAATGTGTTGGGGTTTAGTCTCTTATGTAGTGTTGTATGCAGGGATTGAAATTAACTTTTTCACTCACCAGCCAATTTGGCTACTAAATTTTTAAGTTACCGGCCATTCATAACGTCTACTAGCCAAAAAAAGAAAAAAAGACAGAAATACACCAACAGTTTGAGGCCGTCTACACTGAGCGTGACAAAGCAACCGTTGCAAATCATTTTGTCAGTACTAGGGGTGTGCGATATTGACAAAAAATAATATCTCGATATTTTCTGTGATTTTATCGATAAAGATAATTAGACGATATTTTGCCGAGTGTGTTATTGTGCTGCTATCTTAAAGGGATCATATGATGCGAGGATATTTGAAATTATTTAAAAAATGAAAAGATACTTTAAATGTGAAATTAAAAAAGCCAGTAGGTGGCAGCAAGTCACTGTATATACATTTTCTGCCTCATCTTGAATTATGTGATCATTCTTAATGCATATTAATAGACTGAATCATGCAGTGAAAGAACCACTCTAAATGCGCACACGCACTAAATCCTGTGTTGGTCTAACCAGACTTCATCACGTCGCAAATGCACGCCTCTGTAGGTGTTTTGTGTTTAGCTTTTGCAATATACTCGATAATGTCATGATGTCTCACGAGTTCAGTATTTGCGCAGATTTGGCTTGCATGAACTTCCCCAAGAAATGAATGAGTGAACATAATTAAAAATTGGAAAAGTTTAATTATTTCAATTAATTAGACATGATTTTTGATTGCTAAAATTTAATTTAACCATTAAAATCGAGTCCAAAAAAATTTAAACTGAATTTGGGAAAAAATAAAACGGATTTCATAGGGCACCTATATAAATGTTCATTAACATGCTTTGTCCCTAATAAATAAACAAATAGACAAATAATCTAAACCATAAACAGCATATTAATTGAAATAATGTAAACTGAATATAAAATACACAATTTAATAAAATTTTCTTTTCTTTTCATATTTTATTTCAGCTACTTGTCAAGGCAACATATACCAGTCAAAACTTTGGAAAACATTATTTTGAATAATTTTGATAGAAGCCTCATATGTTTGATCAAAAAAAGAAAAGGAAACTGTAATATTGTGAAATATTATTACAATTTAAAATAATGGTTTTCTATTTTTGCACAAATTCTAATGTGATGCATACCTTCAACATCTATAAGCCAGTCCCTCCAGAAGCAGATGGTCTGGTTCTCCTGTTGCCGTCTGTTGCTTCCCACTGGTGAGAGAAACACTTCAAACAAAGACGACAAATCTTTGGCCTGAAGTGGCTTTTCAAGGTTAGTAAAAAGGTCTTCAAAAACATGGTTGACTCTTGATTTACCCAAGCAGACCCAGGGTTTGTAACCCATCCTCAAACCTATAAAAAAAAAACAAAGAAAAAATGTGGATGCGGTAACTTTACTAGAAAAAAAAATAGCAAAGTAATGCTCTTGGAAGAGAGGCGAGTAATTGTAATATAATTATATTATATAATTAATTCCATATAGCAGTGGTTCCCAACCCTGGTAGTCTACCCACAGCACTGGACATTTTAGATGTCTCCCTAATTAAATGCCTGATTCAACTGGGCTTGGCGAGTGTTCATGTAAACGTGGTCAGTTATGAATTGAAGGGATCCTATAATGTATATATACCTTTTAATTTTTAATGCGTAATGTTGCTGTTTGAGCATATAAAAGGCCTGTAAGGTAAAAAGTTCGAAGTCCACTCCAAAAGGAAGATATTCTCTTTAAGGGAAAACACTTCAAGAACTACAACAAACAACTTGGGACTAGGCTTGCCGCGATATAGATTGTGCTGACGGTGATACCGGTGTTAAGCCGCAACACCGGTTACGTCACTTGCCCACTGCGGCACCGACCCCCACCGTCGTTTTGATTTTTTATAGAAATAAAAATCATTTAGTTCAGGAAAAGAACAGACACTACAATTAAAAACAACGCGGCTGCTCAATGCAGCGTGCCGAACGACAGTCGCATCACAGATCAGA